GGAGCAGAATGTTCTGTGCTCTATGGAAATCCAGAAAGATTTCACGGGTCTACTTGTTGTATTGATGGCTATGGAGGCCAGAGTATCAAGGTGACAGCAGTAAAACTATCTCTGGGGATTGGGCGATTACCCCCGAAAGAGTATAAAGTACGTGTATTGCCCATCCTGGAGTACATCCTGGGGGTGGATGTACTATGTGGCTTATGGCTAGAGAGCACAGCTGGAGAGTTTCGCCTTAGAGTGCGTGTGGTAAAGGCAGTGGTGAGAGGACACGCTAAGCATCCGCCCCTACAACTGTCAGTCCCTAGGTGAGTGACTAATACCAAGCAATATCGGTTGCCCGGAGGCTACAAAGAAATTACAGGCATAATATCAGAACTGGAGAAAGCGGGCATTGTGTGTACTGCCCACAGCCCCGACAATTCACCAGTGTGGCCAGTGAAGAAGCCCGATGGCTCTTGGCGCATGACAGTAGATTATCGTGAATTGAATAAGGTAGTTCCCCCCTTGCATGCTGCAGTGCCTTCAGTGGCAGATTTGATGGATCGTCTGAGCCACGAGCTGGGAATGTACCATTTTGTAGCCGATCTGGCAAATGCTTTTTTTTTCGATAGATGCTGTGGACCAGCCCAGCAGCGGTGGGTAAATCGAGGCACTCTCAGGGAATGAGCGAGAACAAGCACGAGGTGGTCGAAGGAATTAGGGCGAGGGACAAGAAAGAATGACACACAGACACTCAAGGGAGAGTGAAAATCTGAGTGCGAGTTATTAAAATCAACCTCTTTTTATACATTTCTGTGACAATTACCTAAGATTATTTTTCACAGTTTGTGGTAAATCATACATCAGATATGCAGTGAAACATAGCAAGAATTATTACATATTGTTTTTCACCTAAATTCCATTTAAGTACAATTATCGATGAATCAAGCACTTACTGTAATTTACTCAGAGGAGGTCTTTGTTATCCTAACCTTAACTTAAATATGACCTACATGATTTTTATTATGATCATGTTTCATGTATTTATCATAACATTAGTTTTTAATTACCACATACTGTTATTTGTTATTAGCATTTACTATAAAATCACAATGATTACTTTTTCTTGGTTATATATTTAAGCATGTTCTAAAAGCAGCTAAACCAGTTTAAAGCACACAGCTGGGCAGTGCAGCCCAGGGCTATTGAATTGTAAGTTAAAGATTAACAGTGTGTGTCTCAGTGTTTTCAGGCAGTGTTTGTTGGTTGCTTATGGTGCCGATGCACAGTGATCCTTTCCTGCAACATCAGAGGGGGTCTTTTCTGCTTAACATGAATGCCAAAGTTTATTATGCTGAATCCCCTCGGGGACTGCGCCTGTCTTAGGTCGTCAGGAGTCGCAGACATGCGGCTGGCCAGTGCCTTCTTTAGTCTGCCCCCGATCTTCCCCGTCATTGACTGTCCAGTCCAGCGCACAGGGGAAGGGGGTCTTATATACTCTGACTTATGTCTGAGTTAAAGCCTCCCTCTTTCCAATAAGTTTACGGCGTCCAGCAACAGAGGCTGACACAGTGGCAGGGGCTGCCACAGGAGAGGCTCCAGCTCCTGCTCCTGCATCCCCCCTCCCTTTAACCCCTCCCCTCTCATCCAGAACCCCTGCCCGCACCCTCCCCTGCTTCGTCTTCCCTCCCCACCTCCCCCGCAGTGCTGCATCCCAGGCTGCACCTGCCTTCCCAGCTCTCCCCCTTCTCTGCCCCCCCCCCCCGTTTTCTCTCTGCTTCTCTCCAGCTGCCAGCTGATCGGGTCAGGCAAGTCCATCCAACCTGAGAGCCCCAGGGCCCCCTTCAGCCTCTAACCAGACCCCTCCTCTTCCTGGGACACCTCTCTTCCCAGGCCTGCCTGGGTGACTGTTCTGTGACTTGGCCCCCAGCCCCCAAGCCGCCCCCTTCATCTGTGACTTTAGTCTGTTGTGGTGGTGAGCTGACACCCCAGGCGTGACCTCGGTGACACTCGTGCCCCCTCTGTGGTATTGCTCCTGCCCTGCTCTATGCATGTCTATAAATACACACACACACACACACACACACACACACATTAACGTGCACATCTCTAGTGTTGGGAACCTCCGTGCTGTGCTGTCCTTCTGAGTCTTGTGGCCCAACTACAAGCAAAAACTGTCACCCCAGCTGCCCCCGCCAACACGTGCCACCTCCGACGAGCCTCCCTGCCATTCCTGGCCTGTGCCCATTCAGCACCCCTGCCATATTCCTGCCCCTTCCCCGAGCATGGGGGTGCTGTCCCGGCAGCTGTGTGCTTCTGGCCGCGACCAGTCCTGCTGTCTCTTGGCTGAGAATGAAACCCATTTCTGAACAATGGGGAGCAACGTGTTGTGTGCTGGTTGTGTTCTGTGGCGTTCAGGAGGAGGGGAAGGTTTAAGCATGGGGGCGCAGGGGTGCCTGGGATGCCCCAGTCCTTCCCGGGCTGCCCTGGAAAGCACCTGGATGTTAGCTGGTCTTCATCTGAACCCTGCTGTGGCCACCAGGGGTAGAGTGCCAGCCTGGAGGACTCATGGGGCCTGGTGAGAGCCCCAGAGGAACAGGGTGAGAGGAGAAATGCCTAGGCTGGAAGCCAGTACTCTGGGGTGCTGGCACCCTGCTTTCCTCCCACAGAAGTAGACCAGGTTTCCCAGTCTTGGTCATCAGAGCAGGACCTGGCCCTCCCGGGGTGGCATGCAGTGGGTGGCACCTGTGGGGCCTGAGAGCTGAGCTGGGTTGGATGCCCTGACAGGCAGCCCCAGTGCGCACCTCGCACCCCGAAGCCTGCCCTCTGCTGGCAGGACCCACACCCAGCGCAGCGCCTGAGCCCAGATCCCAGGGCCCGACCACGTGGTGAGTTCGGTTTATTCAGAAACAAAAGTGAAACACCAGGAACCACTCCCTGGCCTTGCCTCCTTCCTCTGTCCTGGGTGATCTATAAATAAGTTTCCTTGATGTCAACTGATCCATAGAAACCTCCTCTCCCAGGGGCCACCGCAGCCTCCGCTGTGATACAGGGGCCGTCTCAGCCCCATGTACACACGTCCCAGCACAGTATGTACACCGCGGGGCGCCCGCGCGCCTTCCGCCTGGCCTCCACCAGCCACCCCGGTCCAGCTTCTGGCCAAGCCCAATTTTCCACAGGGTTGGGGGAGTGTGTACCCCCAAATTGCCTGAGTAAGCCATGCATCTCCTCTATGGGGACTTTTTATTAAAGAAGCAGTGAAGGCCACCTCTCTGCAAATCCGGGGTGGCCTCCAAGATAATCAGGCACAGAGGCCCACGGGACTTTTGTAAAGACAGCAAGTGGAGGCCACCCCCTTGTGGACTGCGGTGGCTTCATACCTGCAGGACATTTGAGAGGAGGGAAGGGGAGGCCACCCTTTTGCGGATCGGGGTGGCCTCATGCTTGCGGGACTTTTGTGAGGGGGCACAGGGGGGAAGACACCACTTTGTGCATTGGGGTGGCCTCATGCCCACAGGTCTTTTGGGAGGGGGGACAGGGTACACCACCCCTTTGAGGATTGGGTTGGCCTCATGCCCGCAGGTCTTTTGTGAAGGGCGGGACGGACGAGGCCACTCCTCTGTGGATTGGGGTGGCCTCATGCCCATGGGCCTTTTGTGAGGGGGGAAGGAGGAGGCCACCCCTTTGCAGATTGGGGTGGCCTCATGCCCGCGGGCCTTTTGTGAGCCGGGACAGGGGAGGACACCCCTTTGAGGACTGTGGTGGCCTCATGCCCGCGGGACTTTTGTGAGTGGGACAGGGTAACCTCAAGCCGCAAGACTTGTGTAGTGAGCAGAGCCCCCCCTTAACAGGTGGGTGCCTACAAAATAATCGGGCACACATGCCCATGGGGACTTTTGCTAGGTAGTAGGAGAGGCCTCCCTCTGCAGATAGGGATCACCTCCAAAATAATTGGGTACAACAAAAAGTAAAAAGAAAAAAATAAAGAAAAATCAAAACAATTATTAAGTCCAACAAAAAATTAAAAAAAAAAACAAAAACAAACAAACAAAAAAAACAAAATTGGGTGCAAAGGCCCACGGGGAAATTTCAAAAGGGAACAGGGGAGGCCACCCCTTTGTGGATCTGGGTGGTCTCAAATAAACCACTGCTATCTCTTGGCTACACTCTAGACAGGTGTTGGTGCCCACCTGCCCCAGCTTGTATCTCTGTCTGGACTTAGCCCCCATGCCGGGCCTTCAAAATGCTGCCCCACTCCACATGGTTGGGGTAGGGTGAGGGGGGGGGGCACGTGGCCCCAAATTGCCTGATATAACCTAGGCCCCCTGCAGGAAGGCCTGGTAAGGATTCAATTGGTCATCAAGGAGCCCCTATGTTGTAGAAGGGAGCCCCCTAAATAACTAGTTGGATGTTTCTAGCTCCTTGTCTCAGGAAGTATGAATAGCCCAGAGATTAAGACACAGCCCTAACCTCAGAGGGCTAGGGTCTGCACCTGTTTCCCCCTATTAGATAGGGGAGTTGTTGTACCCCTTTTTTAAGCCGAGGGATGAAAGGACGACTGGGAAGGAGAGCCAAAGGACGGGGGGGAAAGCCTGGGGAACAGGGATGGGTTGGTGAGGGCCAGGTGGGGGCAGAGCCCCCAGCCCATGCCGGTGGCCTAGACCACGATTATCTTCACCTTGTTGTCATCAGCCTGGTAGAAGAAGGGAATACACAGGCTGTTTCCAATGGTGATGCTTTCCTGGGGGTTCTGCATTTCTTGAAGCAGCTGAATGATCTGCTGCACAGAGGTGTTCTCAAGGGTAGTCAGGCCCAGCTGGGCCTCGCCCTGGGTTGGCTGCACGTCGTGGATGAGGCTCACCTCACTCCGTGCTTTAGAGAGACAGAGACAGGATGCTGTGTGCCTGGCGCAGTGTGCTCCTCCTGCCTAGATGCCTGCGCGGGCTTTCCTCACCTTGGCCGCTGGCAGCGCCAAGCTCCTTGGGGGCTAGGCATGCGCTGGTGGGCTCAGCAGCAGGGTTCTGGGCAGGGGCTCAGAGCTTCACCCACCATTCGTTGTGCACCTCCACCAGACACAAAACCAGCTCTTGCAGCTCTAACAGCTTCACCTGGAAGCAGAGACACTCAGAAGCCCACCCCGCCCCCAGCTGCACCACCATGGAGCCAGAGCTCTGACTACCTTCATCTCCTCTTTGTCCTGGGCCAGCTGGCTTATGGACTCCTCCTTCTCTTGGTGCTCCTTCCTCATCACTGCTCTCTGGGTCTGGTAGAGAGCAATGTATTCTCCTAGGGGGAGGGTGTGTAGACAGCTCAGCTGCTGGGGTCTCCCCAGCCTCTGCATAGCACCCCAGCTGCAGGGCGCAGGTCTCCCCACTCACCGATGGTGTCAGTCTCTCCAGACATCCAGATACATCGATGCTCCAGCTCCTCCATCCAGTCCTGTAAGTCCACTTTCTCCTGAATGAGCTCGGTAAAGTGACCCTGCGGCCAGACAGTGGGCTCAGGGGCTCAGCAGTGCTGGCCTGCCCAGCACCCAGCCCGCCCAGCCCTCCGGAGAATCACACTGTAGGGTAAGAAAAAACTATCAGGCTTTTCTGCCCTCCCGCCATTTGGATAGAAGACGGAACCCTGTGGTTCTGAATGCATGCCTGATGCGGGCACCTGGAGTAGTGTGTGGGCATATGTAGATGGGATTCACCTGGGCTAAGATGGGCTTTTAAGGGTGGTGTCCCTGGGATGCCAGCAGAAGCAGAGAAGCGGAAGCAGAACCAAGAGAGCAGAGCACCAGAGACCACCAGAGAACACCGGAGAGCCCAGAAAGAGTGAAGACTTGCTAGGGGCTGGGAGGCCTGTCAGCCTCCCGGCCCCCCATCACCCCTACTTGCCATGTACCTGGTAAATCCCAATAAAAGCCTGCAAATGCCACTGAGGCTTCCAGGACTCTCTTCTCCTGGACCCGGTCTGCTGGATCAGAAAACCTGCCCCGTGTCCATTCCTTTCTGCCTTACAATTGGCGTAAGTCGGCAAGGTGCTCCATGCAGACGGGTGTGGAGCCCTCCGAAGACCGGGAGGGACTGAGGAGCAGCAGACTATGTTTTCCTGTGACAGCGCTGGACGTGTCATGGCAGCACAGGAGATGGAAAAGGTCCGGAAGCTGCGGGATGAGACCTCGCCTGGAGGAGGAGACGCCCGAGAGGACCAGCCAATGATCCCCAAGGCAGCAAGAATCGTCGGGGAAGAAAGGACCACGATTCAGAGCTCCCCAGTGTGGACAAAGGGAAAAGCTGATGAACTTGGACTAATGGACTAACAATCCCGCCAGAAGGCGGAGGACCTTGGCAAGTTCGATATGTTTTGGGGGCCCTGGGGGAGGATGGGATTGTACACCCCCGGAGATGGGAATCTGGGGGTGGCCAGTGGGCCTTGGTGGCCAAAAGCAGCCAGTGCATTGCCCAGTAGCCAGGCAGAGGAGAAAAAGCCAACTGAGAAGGCAAAAGCTGGTGCTAAGTTCGGGAAGCCCTGAGTGGCTGTTAAGCACTGTGTAAGCTAAAGAAGGCCAGTGAGTCTCTTAAAATCACCCGTGGGTGTTGCCCTGTTCATTGCTGAGTGAGGGTGAGGAGCTGAGGAACCCGTCCTTGGGAGACGGGCAGGGAACGTGGCTTGTGGTGGGGCCCACAGCCAAAGAGGGGACCCAAGAGAGGCCGCATGTGGAGCTTGCATCCACGGATCCCCGACCCAAGTGCTTGTGCAGTGGGCTGGCCTGAGTGCAGAGGCCTGCGTGTCGCATTGGTGGCTATGAAAGCCGAGTATTGGAGTGACTGCAGACAGAAACCCTGAGGGTTGGGTGATTACCCCCAAAGAGTACAGAATCACCAACCCAAGAGTGAGTGCATCCTGGGGGTGGATGCGGTGTGTGGCTTGTGGCCGAGACCCCAGCTGGAGGGGGCCGGGAGGCCTGAGGGCTCCTGGCCTGTAACGGCAGATGCCTGAGTGGTTCCCTCTCTCGCATGAGCAGTGCCTTCAGCAGCTGAAGTGGTAGATCACGTACTGGTGCCAATAGTCTTTTGCCACTAGGTTGGTGCCCTGCCTGGACTTATTTGTGTTCTGCTATATTACATTGTGATATATTTCATTTGCTTTTGTGGGCCATGGCTGCAATGTTCATATTCGCCAAGAGAAACGTGTATATAACTCATATAGACTGTCTGGCAGGTAAAAGTATCAGGGTTTTCTGCCCTCCCGCCATTAGGATGGATGACGGAACCCTGTGGTCCCAAATGCATGCCTGATGCGGGCACCTGGAGTAGGGTGTGGGTATAGGTAGATGGGATTCACCTGGGCTAAGACTGGGCTTTTATTTATTTATTTATTTATTTTTTAAATGAACTTTGTGAAGTCAGTCTCTCTCTTTTTTTTTTTTAAAGATTTATTTATTTATTCATACAAACACTGGGTACAGTCAGAAGCGTGGGAGGGTGAGAGAATTCACCAGAGCCAGAGTGGAGAGCAGAGCAGGCAGAAGGACCGAAGTACACTGCTGAGGGGAGCAGCGGGCTGCAGGAGAGGTCTGCGCACCCTGTGGGACCCTCGCCCTGCGGCCAGGAATCAAACCGGCGCCGCGGAGTCTGCGGGCAGCTTCAGAACCCAGCGCTCAACCGCTGTGCCACCAGCGAGGCCCAAGACTGGGCTTTTAAGGGCGGCGTCACGGGGATGCCAGCAGCAGCAGAGAAGCAGAAGAAGAACCGAGACAGCAGAGCAGCAGAGACCACCAGAGAACACCGGAGAGCCCAGAAAGAGTGAAGACTTGCTGGGGGCTGGGAGGCCTGTCTGCCCTCTGACCGCCCCCAGCACCCCTGCCTGCCATGTACCCGGTAAATCCCAATAAAAGCCTGCAAAAGTCACTGGGGCTTCCAGGACTCACTTCTCCTGTACCTGGTCTGCTGGATCAGAAAACCTGCCCTGTGGCCATTCCTTCCTGCCTTACACACACTCACCTGCAGTTTCTCCATGGCTCCCTGAAGGGCCTGGTGGGTCTCCCCAGGCACACTCTCCCCCCCATGGCCTCACGGCTGTCTAGGTCGTCAGGGATGCTTAGCTTTGGCAGGGGACCCTTGTTCTCCTCTTCCTCCTCACTGCTCAGTCCATTTACTGTTGGGGGGCAGCCAGAGGGGCTCAAAGAACACCTGGGTTCTGAAGCAGCCCTGAGAGCCAGCAAGCTCTGCTCCCTCCTCTCTGTGCAACCCTGCGCCAGCAAGTCCCCAAAGGAGAAGGATCCAAGTTGTCCTAAGGGTGGCTTCCACTCTTGCAAACCCCTCCTCTGCTGAAGTCCCACTCACTTTCTCCAGTCCGAGCCAGGAGGTTCAGTGGGGCCGGCAGGAAAGAGTGAGAAGGGATGCTGCTCGCAGGTCTTCCTGCTCGGGCGGCCACAGGGTGTCTGGCACTCCAACTGCCCCACCTGTGTTTCCAGCAGCTCTTGGCGGGCCAACTCGACCTCCATCTTGCCCTGCTCTTCTTCGTGCTGCATCCAGTTGCCAAGCTGGGTGTTAAGCAGCACTGGCTTCTGCAGGACGTCCTTCTCGTTGGCCAGCTGCTGGTAGGCGGCCACGAGCTGCTGGTAGGCGGCCATGTACTGCTGAAGGTGACTAAGGTAGTGGTCCTGCTGCTGCTGCAGCTCCTGAGCCTCTTGATATTTCTCCTCCACCTGCAGGGAGGACGCGGGGGGGTGAGGGCAGGTGGCAGTTGGCCTCCAAATTGTCATTGGAACCCAGCTGCCTCTGCTAGACGCTACCTCAGGGAGACCAGTAGTGACCATCACTACTGACCAGTGCTGCCCAGCACTCCTGGTAACAGGGGATTGGAACCCTACTTGTACTTCTGGTGGACAGTACCTGGTTGAGGTAGACACCACTTGTGGCTACAGTAAGCTCCGTTTCCCATTTGTAAAATAAACCCCAAGGTGGTTGTTTACAGAGGCTGAAGTCTCTTGCAATTGTGCACATGGTTGAGAACCACAGTGATGAGTCCCCTACCGGGCACTATCCTTCCATCGGCTCTAACCTGTAGGCCCCTATCGTATGGGGTCTGTATTGCTCCAGACTTCGGTTTTGACTTTGGGGCTTTTTGGCAGCTCTCTTGTCTTAGAGCCTGGGCAGGTGGGTGCCACTGCGGCCTATCCTGGCATCCCATTCATGCCCTGTGACTACCCTTTTCAGTTGGGATCCCAGCTGATGTCAGAGACACAAAGTGTTAAAACTTTCTTTGTGAGTTGCTGGACAACACCAACAACAAACAGCTCTTTCAGACACGAGGCTCGGAGCCTTTGATGCTCCTTTCCAGTGATGTCAGACACAGGACTGGAGGCCCAGTCTCTGACAGAGGTCTTCATCCTCTCTTCCTCCCGCAGAGGTTGGCTACTGGATGCTGCTTTTCTTCTTTCAGCTTCTGGCCCTCCTTTCTTCAGAGGCCAGGAACAGAGTCTTCCCCTTCTTTCTTTGGAGGTTGGAACAGAGCCCCTCAGCTCCCTCTAACCCTGGCTTATATCACTCTTCAGGGTGTCCCAACATCAAGTCTGATTGGACCATTTTTCTTTTTTTGTGCAGAATAACTGGGGTATTGGCCAGAGGTGTAGAGTGAGCAGAACAGACAGACTGACTGAAACACACTGGGGAGGGGAGCAGCCGGCAAGGCAGGAGAGGTCTGCTGTGCCCTGTGGGTCAGATCCCAGCCAGGGATCAAACTCAAGCAGTAGTGATGATGGGTGGCGAGACTTAACCCCTAGGCCACCAGGGAGGCCCTGGACCATTTTCATCCTTGGCTGACTGGGCCACTTAGCACCAATCAGCTCATAGCTTCCACCTGATTGGTCCTGCCCATAACCCAGGAAGCGTGCAGAAAAGGGCAGTTCTGAGCAGCAACTGTCTCAACGGGCTTGTGGTGGAGCAACAGAGTGGAGACCACCGAGGCAACTCCCAGATCTGCACCCACAAATGGGGGGGGACAGGCACTGTGGGACTTTGCCACCTGCCCAGGTCCCTTCCTTTAACTCCAGCAGAACTGGTTTCTAGTGCTCTCTGAAGTGAAGGACGCTGAGGCTCAGCCCTGTTCAGTGAAGTGCAACCCCGGAGCCAAGTCTGGAAACAGGATGTCTCCATGTCTCCTTGTCTCTGCCTTAGTGGCTCAACCTCCAGTGGGGCAGGTGACCTGCAGTCCCGGGGAACCCACCACTCCATGTCAGACCCTGGGCACAGGTGGTCACGGACCTGGCAGGACTGCAGGGTAACCGGTGCCTCCCAGCCCTGAGTTGGAGCTACCTCTGTGGCCTAAAAACCTCCCTCCCGGAGGCCTCCGAGACCTTCCCAGCTGGCACAGGACTTACCAGCTCCTTTAGCTCTGTCAGCTTCTCCTGCAGCTGGCCGAGTTTCGTGGCCAGCTCACTCTTGGTGTGCTGCTCCATTTGGAGCGAGCCGGTCACCTCCATGTTCTGATGGGCCTGGACAGACAGAAGAAACAATGAGATGACACCCAGTGCAGCTGGAGACCCAGAGCTTGGTGTCCCCCCCCACATCAGGACGAGGTCATCTTCCAGCCCAGGGCAACCCAGGCACCTTACCTTCTTGCCAAGCGTTCTCTGGGCTCCATATCCTAATCATCTCCTGCACCCACCCTCTGCCCGGGACTCCCACGTCACCTGCTCTCCACGGGGATGAACACTGCCCACCTCTACAAATCAGTCTCAAAGGACACCCCCTCCAGCCTCCAGACCCTTCAGAGCCAACTGCTCCTTTAGTTGCCACATCCCACCTTGCCGCCTAGCAAAGTGTCTGCTGCCAAGGGCCCATGGGAGATGGTAAGTGTCCAGTTGATTTTTAAAAGACAACGGGCAAAATGTCCCAGTCACTCATCTCTGGTTAACCTCAGGTACTTTGTAGTTCTGCTACAAAACTCACCTGAACCCTTGCACCTGTAACAAAAGCCCCCTTTCTCCTAAGCCTGCATTTCCCACTCCCAAGCTAAAATGAACTCATCACTTTGAAAAATCAACCACTATGTGCATTGTTGGTCTTTGGGGGACATGCCCAGAGGGCAAGCCCTGTGTGTGTGGGGGGGTGGGGGGGGCGCTTATTGACACTCTCCCATTAGGACGGGCCACTGAGCATTCACCCTGGAGGCTTGGAAGGCCCAAATCTCTCACACTGCTCTGGAAGCTCTTCCCAAATGAGCTTTTACCCTTCACGGTGTATTGTATCTTCCCCAAGATGATAATGATGTGCGGGAAGGAAAACAACAACCAACCAAGCATTTGAAATAGCAGACGTGGACACACCGAGGGTTAATGATGGCAACATAAAATCAGCCAGAGGCCAAGTACCCTAACCAGACAATCCTCGGGCATGCACGCTGGGAGAGGGCAAGCCAGGGAGAGGGTCTTGGCACGGCCTCACCTTCCTCCTGTCCAATGGGGGGAGCGCTACCCCATTGGAGTGGTTAAGGTTGACATCAGCACCTGCAGAATGTCCTGAATCTACAGGAGGTGAAAAGGGAAAAACAAGAGCATGGGGAGGAAGAGAAAAGTGACTTAGAGAAGAAAAGAAGGTCAGAGAAAGAAAAAGAGCAGCTCTGGACAATGGATGCCAGAGACAAGGGTGACGGATACATACCACGGCCTGTGCCATCTTTCCAAACGGCCACTCTCCGCCTCGCCTGAGGCAGAAAGCAATGTGAACCAAGAGATGGATCAAAGCTACCAAATCAGGCTGGAAGACACTGATCTGGCCCAACAATATCATCTTCCAGGTGAGGAACCTGAGACCCAGGAAGGATGTGATTTTCCCTGTGATCACCCAGCAAGCAGGTGGCAGAGACAGACTCCCACCTCAGAGGTCGCCTAATCCCAAGCGCCCGGGGCTCATCTGTGCCACCCTAAAGGGAGAGGGTGTCCTCACTGACTGGCTTCCCCTTGAGGCTGGGGATGAGAGAAATTGCCAGAGCAAGAAGTCCATAGCGACGCCCTGTACTGAAGCCTTACTGCGCACCAGGCCCCGCACGAAGGGATGAATGAACAATCATCTCATGGATGCTGCCGAGATTTAAGTAGAACTGTAGCACCCTGACTCACAGGTGTACAAAGAGCTTAAACAGTGTCGCCCCAAATCAGATCCCCAGCAGAGCTACGGAGAGGCCGCGCTCAGACCCAGGGTTCTTACCCACTTCTTTCATGCTCTTAAACGCTCACTCAGCTGCCCTGGAGCACTCCCTCCCAGGAAGCCTGGCAGAGCAAGACTTACATCTTTTGATGACTCACAACCACCAGATGCCGTTGTCTCTGGCCTACTGCCAAGTGTCTTCTTTTTTTTCTTAACTCCTGCAGGAGACCCCAAGCTGTTTTCCTTTGGTAGTCTCTCAACTGCAGAGTCTCTCAACTCTCAAAGAGAGTTGAGGCTCATGAGAACTGCAAGCCCCTGTACTCACACCCCACTTTACACGTTAGATTTGCCACCTGACTTCATGCCACCAGAACTCTACCAGGTGCTGTGGGTAGTACCACGCCCCTCCAATGACGACGAAATGGACTGATAACATGGTTTAAAGAAAAAATGTTTAGGAATTTACACTCAGTCTTCATACTTGAACTTCCAGGATGCCATGACTCAGTAGCTGCCAGCGGGCAAAGCCAGCGCAGGGTGGAAAAGCAAGCATGTGAGTACTCAGACATCAGGGCCCTTTCTTATACATGTTACCCATTAACAGCGCTGCTCAAGCTCCTGCACCAATGGATGCTGATGGCACGAGGCAGTGAGGGGACAGCCAGGGGCACAGCCAGGCACATTTCAGAGCAATCTGTTACAATCTCACTTATGTACGCATATGTACATTAATACACAAGGCTTTTTTTCTCAAGATAATGAAGCAGAATTGATGCTTCAGTCGCCTATTTATCCTGTGGCGTGCTGAGCAACCCATGTTGAGACGACTGGGGGAAGATTCCCAACTGGGAAGGTCAGTTTACTGGGATCTGATCCACAGAGGATAAACAGATCACTCCAAAGAGCACTGATTGGGGGCACTCTGGCACATGTGTCATAAGGAATTAGAATGTGAGATGGAGAAGTCAGACAAAAATTGGAAAGTCTCTGTGGAGAAGTAGAAACCCCGGAGAAAACCAAACTAAATAGTTCTTCCCAGTGTCACCCACAGCGGTTGTCAATGCTTCAAGTTTACTAGGGAAGCGTAGGCTTTGTAGGCGCTCAGTGTTTAAAGGTGGGGTACAGTACAGAGCAAGCAAGCCTGAACCATCTCCCAGAACACCCATAAGTATGAGCTGCCCATAATGACTAATCTCAAAAGACAATGGTAACTAAAGAAATGAAACAAAGGCTTTGCAGGAAGAAAGCTGGGAGACTCTACCTTAGCCTGGTGTTGAAGGTGAACACCCTCAGTGATCAGTCAGGGGGGCATGACTGCATGGTGACTGACATGACTGACGTGTTGAGTGGACAGTGGCCTGCATCTCTGTGGTCTGCTTTCCCAAGCCACAGTCCCAGTCAGAAAAAAAACAAAAAAACAAAAAACACTAAGTTGAGGGACAATGTTCCTGAGCAGTGCTCCTTGATAGAGGCTAAGAGTAGAAAATTGAGGATGGAGGGGTCACAAGACCAGAAAGTGGAGGTGGGGGTAGAAGGGATTAACATAGTAATTAAACCCGGTATAGAAAGGAATGATGCTTAGGGCAGCTGCTCGAGGGAGCACCAACTGCTCTGGAAAAGACCCAGAGGCGCAGACCAGAGGTGGGATGTGGGGATGGAGTCATTGCAAAGAATCACGCGTCCTTACAAATGAACCAAATGAAACTTGTCACCCCATAGAAGTAATTAATTTAACGACAGATGACAATTGCAGAAAGGAAGGAGCCCTCCCAACTAGAACACTACCTCAGTGCCCTTTCTGCCCTGGGAAGACTCAGCTCTGCTCCAAAGCCTCCGCCTGGGGCCTGCAGGCTTCTCCTCACACACCCGCTCTCTCCAGGGGCAGCTCCTCCTGCCTGCTGGTGTCTGCCCAGGAAGCTACTTCTTCTTTCCCTTTTTTTTTAAACTTTATTTTTTAAACAATATTTGCTTCCCCCCATCCCTTCAGTTTGAGTCTCCATAGAATTTCCTTCCCCCAGGCACTTGTGCACCATCACCACAGTCCCCTGTGCACCTCCCTCCTTCCCTCTGATGCCTCTCCCTCCTCCTCTCCTGCAGGATGTCTCTAATTTATAATTGTTTTTGTTTTGTTGTCTTTTGTATTGCTATTATTTTTTTTTACACTGATATCTTATTAGGCTCTCCCATATTCCTGTTATAAGTAAAACCATCCAATATTTTTCTTTTTCCTTCTGGCTTATTTCACTGAGCATAATTCCTTCTAGCTCCATCCACGTTGCTGCAAATGGCATGAATTTATCTTTTTTTTTTGATTGCTGAATAATATTCCATTGTGTATATATACCACATCTTCTTGATCCAGTCATCTGTTTTTGGGCATTTGGGTTGTTTCCGGTTTTACCCATTATAAATAGTGCTGCAATAAACATAGGCGTACAGGTATTCTTTTGAATCAATGTTTTTGTTTCCTTTGGGTAGATTCCCTGGTAGTGGAATTTCTGGGTTGTATGGTAGCTCCATTTTTAGTAGACTGAGGAAACTCCAGACAGCTTTCCATAGTGGCTGGACCAGTTTGCACTCCCACCAGCAGTGTAGGAGAGTTCCTTTTTCACCACATCCTCGCCAACAGATGTTGTTGCTTGTTTTTTTCATATGTGCCATTCTTACTGGTGTAAGGTGGTATCTCAGTGTGGTTTTGATTTGCATTTCCCTGATTATAAGGGATGTTGAATGTTTTTCATGTGCCTGTTGGCCATTTGCATTTCCTCTTTGCAGAAATATCTTTTAAGTTCTTCTGCCTATTTCTTGACCGGATTGTTTATTTTGTTTTTATTGAGCCATGTGAGTTCTTTGTATAAATTTGTAATCAGTCCCTTAACAGTTGAATGGAGTGCAAAGATGTTTTCCCAATCACTGGGTTGTCTCCCTATTTTGGTTAATGTCTTTTGGCTGTACAGAAGCTTTTCAGTTTGATGTAATCCCAGGTGTTTGTCTTCACTATGACTGCTTTGAGTGATGAGTCTTTAAAGATATTTCTGAGATGTATGTCTTATAGTGTTTTACCTATATTTTCTTCTATATATTTTATGGTTTCAGATCTTATGTCCAGTTCTTTTATCCATTTTGAGTTGATTTTTGTGCAGAGTGAGAGGTAGTGGTCTAGTTTCATTTTTTTACATGTGGAGGTCCAGTTTTTCCAGCACCATTTATTGAACAAACTGTCCGTGTTCCATCGCATATTCTTTGCTCTTTTGTCAAAGATTAGTTGTTCATAAAAGTGTGGCTTTATTTCTGGGTTTTCTATTCGGTTCCATTGGTCTATGTGTCTGTTTTTGTTCCAATACCA